CTGGTGGTCAGACTCAACCACGCTGGATCACAACCCTACCACATCCACAAGTGACACTCAAGGGGCATGGTTGGTGAACACCAAAGCTCCACTGAAGTAAATCCTACTCCATAAGGGTGTCTCCAGCACAGCAGCTCTTTGGCTGTAGTTGCAGCTGGTCCTCACAGCTGATTGGCCTGGGGGTCAGTTCCTCCCAGTGACACCAACAGCAACCAAGGCTCAACTACAACAGGACAGTGCACACAGCCCACACAGGGGAGCACCTAGAAGGCCCAGCTCAGGTGACTGGGGAGGCTGAGCCACTGGACCCTACAGGACACCTACTACACAAAGCCACTCTACAAATTCCAGGAGACATAGCAGCTCTACCTAATACATAGAAACAAACACCTGGAAGCAGCCAAAATGTGGAGGCAAAGAAACATGTCACAAAGGAAAGAACAGAAGAAATCTCTAGAAGAGGAACTAAATGAAATAGATCCAAGCAAGCTAACAGATACAGAGTTCAGAATTTTGTTTATAAGGATGTTTAAGCAGACTATTAAGGAAATAACTGAGAAAATCGATAACATAATAAAGTACCAATTTGAAATGAAGGCTACAGGAACTGAAGTGAATAATAATTTACATGGAATCAACAGTAATTTGCTGAGAATCAAATCAGCAATTTGGAACATGAGGAAACAAAAAACACCCAACCAGAAGAGCAAAAAGAGAAAAAAATCCAGAAATATGAAAATAGTATAAGGAGCCTCTGGGACAACTTCAAGAGGCCCAACATTCGTATTATTGGGGTGCCAGAAGGGGAAGAGACCAAGAAATTGAAAACCTATTTGAAAAAATAATTACAGAAAATTTCCCCTATCTGGGGAAAGAAATAGACATACAAGTCCAGGAAGCACAGAGGGTCCCAAACAAGAGGAACCCAAAGAGGCCCACAGCAAGACACACCATAATTAAAATGTCAAAGATTAAAGACAAAGAGAGAATCTTAAAAGCAGCAAGAGAAAAGCAGTTAGTTACCTACAAGGGAGCATCCATATGACTGTCAGATAATTTCTCAGCAGAAACTTTGCAGGCCAGAAGGGAATGGCAAGAAATATTCAAAGTGATGAAAAACATGGAACTACAACCAAGATTGCTCTACCCAGCAAAGCTATCATTTAGAATTGAAAATCAAATAAAGAGCTTCACAGATAAGAAAAAGCTAAAGGAGTTCATCACCACCAGACCAGCACTACAGGAAAAGTTGAAGGGTCTTTTTTAAGAAGAAGTTAATGAACAAAAGAATCTGATGAAATCAATAGATCCAGAGACATTGACGCATGCCACAGATGATCATATTTCAGAGGAAAGAGGGAAGGGGGGTGGAGGGTGGGAAGAGATTAACCAAAGAAGTTATATGCATATATGCATAACCCATGGACACAGTTAATAACGGGGTGAAGGCCTGGGGAGGGGATGGGAGCGAAGTGGAGGGGGTCAATTGGGGGGGAAAAATGGGACACCTGTAATACTCTCAACAATAAAGATAAATTTAAATAAAAGAAGAAAAAAAAGAAAATTTCCCAGAGTTAAAGAAAAACCACCAGACTGAGGGTCCACAGTGTCCTAATGGAGTGAGACAGAACACCCATACCAGACTCACCTGGGGAAAATGTGGAGCACAGCGAGGAGATTCTATAGCTTGGTAAGGGAAAGGACAAGCTTTGTTAGGTTGTCCTTTGTTAGACAAGCAGATGTTAGATTTCTCTGAAAGCGTCTCTGGGCTTCTGATAATTAGGGTTTTAGAACCCAGAATTCTGTACCCAGCCCAATAGGCCACCAAGACCGACAGCAAAGTAGAGACGTGTAGACATGCAAGTGCTCAGCCACGCACTCCCATATGACTTGAAACAAAATTTGAAAAAAAAGAAAGACATGGGACCTGAGGAAAAGTGGCCCTACCCTAAAGACAAGAGTGCAGAGAGGGATCTGGGTTGATGGATGTGGCCCAGGTCCAGATGGCAGCATCCACGTGAGGCAGGAGTCAGGGCCTCCCAGCAAATGTCTCCTAATGCAGGCAGAATCCTTTCAACAACAGAATAATTAAGAAGCAAAATGAGCTGGGTGTGGACATATTTCTGTCATCAAGAAAAAAGAAATGCAATTAGAAACTCTGAGATAAACACAACTTATCCAAGTAAGTCGACATCCAAATATGAAGCCAACTCAATGTGGCAAGAGTCTACAGAGCTGTGAGGTGACAGAGCCCGCCTGTGCTCCGGGCTCAGGCATCTGCCTCTTATGACACATGGCCATGTCATGATTCAAATGAAAGCATGAAAAGACGTGAGTTCCTCAAGGTCATGGTCTGAAGTAAGAGTGAAACCAGCCCTCTCTGTGACAACGGACATTAGAACACCAGGGACGCAAGCCTCACTTTCAGAGGCAAACCTGGGATGAATCATTTGGGCCTGATGGTACTTTTTTTTTAAATTAAAATGTAAATCCCTTTTCTGTGCTGATTAGAGAAGCTATAGGTGAAGAAAGCTTTCTGGCCCAGGGAGCTAACCAGAGAGGTTCTGTGACAAGTGGTCGGGTTGAATGAGGACCTGAATAAATGTGAGGCTTGCTCCCTGCCTGGGTGGCTCAGTTGGTTGGAGTGTCATCCTGTACACCAAAAGGTTGCGGGTTCAACTGGGCAGGGCACATACCTGGGTTGATGGGTTCGAGCCCTGGTTTGGGAATGTAGGGGAGGCAACTAATCGATGTTTCTCTCTCTCTCTCTCTTATCAATGGGAGACATATCCTTGGGTGAGGGTTAAAAAAAAAAGTGAGGCTTGCTCCGCTCTGCATCACAGGTGACAGCCTGGCCTCACTTCCAGAATCCCCACCAGCTTCCACCCCAGCCACACTCTTAGGGCTAGGGAAACTCCGGGGTGGTGACTCGCTGGGCAGAGGTGCTCATACCTCAGAGTCACTCCACAGGGGCTGACAGGAGCGGGGCACCTGCCTCTCCTTCACGCACATGCTCCCTCTGGACCCGGATTCCACATTCGCTAGAAAAACAGCCCAGTTTGTGGGCACAGGACGGTGCTGCTTTTCGTCTCCTGGCTGCTGCACAAGTGATACCAAGCTCGGAACAATACGGATGCGCTGGCAGCTCCAAACCTGAAACGCAAAGCAAAGGTTGGTACCCCTGGACGTACGAAGGAGTGTAAGGAGTGTAAACCTAGAAATGTAGTAGTAACATTACAGCTAACGAGAGGGGAGGAGGCAGAGTGGGGAAGAGGAGGAGGGGCAGCCTGTCGTGTCCGCACTCAGCGTGCGACGAGCACGTCCACAGCTGTCCTGGCTCCGGAGCTCCGGATCCCACGGGGCTCTTCTCTTGCTAGAAATCACCCAAAAGCAACAGGAGGAGATATAAATATGCAAATTCCATTTGCTTAAACTGAGGAACAGAGAATTGCCCTGACCTCCCGATGACAGGCCCACCTGTCTTTTGAGGCTGTCACCAACGTGCCCTTCGCCATGAAGCACCCTTAATCCCCCCGGTGTACACTCTGCTGTGGCTCCAGAGGCCCTGTGCCCTCACCCTGTGCCCATGTCCCCAGTATGCCATGCCCTCCTGGAGGGGGTGGGGCTCACTGCCCCCTGCCCCCACCCCTGCAGGGCTGCCTTCCCATGTGGCACCCACGGGCACTTCCCAAGGCTCCAGGATACTGGGGTCACCCTGGGCTCCAGAGGGGACAGGTGAGCCAGGGGCCCTTCAGGTGTGTGTATGGGAACGGGGAGAGATTGGCCTGAGAGTTCTCTTTGAGCTGATTTATATGATGGGTTAAGATTTTATTCAGGAAAAAGGGTGACAGGCCACCTTGTGCCTGGTACACAGTGGGTGTGCGGGTGGCTGAGCGAACAGAGCACAGTAGCTAGAGGTGGCTTCTGGGAGCTGCCAGATTCTTGTCTTTATGGTGACGCCACCAAGAGTGTGTGCCTGTGGCTTCTGTTCGGCACCCAGTACAGAGGCCTTTCTATTTGTGGATGGGAAGGTGGTAATTAAGGTGGAAACAGCCCTCACACAGTCGCTTTTATTTTAAGGCTCCACAAATGTTTATTTTCAGCCTGAAGATTTCTGTCTAAATTCACATTTTAGAGTTGAACTGAATTACTTTTCTTCATTTTAAAATTTATGTAAGGCGATGAAATTCCTTGCTTGCACTTTCAAAGCATCTTATTTTGCCTACAGAGAAATCAAAACAGCCAAGACTTAAAAGTTGAAATTTTTCATTTGTCTGTCTTCTCTGTGAGTCCTCCTGGGGGATTCTGCGAAGAAGAAGAAAAAAATAACAAAATTATAAGTAACTGAAAACTCGCTTGGCCACGATGAGTTCGGAATCTCACCGATGCCCGAGCTGTTTGTGCTGGTGGAGTTTTGCGGTAACTGTCATGTCCCCTTCCGGAGGCTGACACAACCGATTCGGGTCGGGTCTCCTGGGGTGACGGAGCAAAAGGACACAACAGCCCCCCTTCACGCCTGTCCATCCCTTCCCAGAAATCCACTTTAGGAGAAAGAAACCAGGAGAATTAAACCAGGCTCCGGCCCTGCCAAGATGCTGGACTGGCCCAGGCTGCTGCTGGCTCCTGTCCCAACCAGCCCTGAGGGACTGTCACGGGAACGTCCTGTCGCCTAGAAAAGCACCCCGGAGAAGCCGGGAGAGCCCAGTGGTGTCTGGGGCCCGAGGCCAAGGGGTCGGTCACACTGCTCCTGTTTGCGTCCCCTATGTTGATATTTTGTTCTTCAGTGATTCCTTATATCCAATTTGGTCTTGTAAAATATTGCATTAAAACATTATTTATCCTGATTCCTGAGTTTTTGGTGCCCCTTGACATTTTGGGCCTTTGCCTCAGCCTAGTCCAGGCCCTAGTGGGTCAGAAGGCTGCACAGTGAACTTGTGTGCATGCATGGTTGTGCATGTATATATGCGTGCACACATGGGTATGCATGTATATGTGTGTGCATTATGGTTGTGCACATGTACATGTGTCCACACATGGGGGGGTGTACCCATTTGTGGTGACTACAGTCTGGGGGGAGCAAAGCTGTAGGTAGATAAAATTGGGGAAAGCAGTCTGAGTCCAGCCTTTGTTTCCACATCAGTCTCCCCACTTGGGACAGTGCCCTTGGGAGTCAAATGCACAGACGCTGACACAGGCCAGGTGTGGAGACAAGCCATGGGGCTGGAACTAGAAATAAAAAGGCTGCCTTATCCTGATCAAGTGTGTCTACCACGTGCCTTCAGCAAACATTACACTCAATGAACAAACACCTTCCCTTTCAGCTTGGGAAAAAAATAAACCAAGGATGCCCAGCGTTGCTGCTTCTGTGTAACACGGGCTGCAGGTCCTGGCCCACACGTGGAGAAAAAGGAAAGGAAATGAGGTGGGTAGGGATCAGAAAAGGGACTGAAACTCATTATCTACAAGCGAATGATCATCTATGGTGGGAAGCTAACAGGACAGACACACGACAGAACTCAAAATAGACTGCAGCAAAGTTACCAGATATAAGACCAACTTGCAAATGCAGTAGATTTTCTCTCTGCTAATAAACTAGAAAGTACACTAGACAGAAAGTAATAAACTAGAAAACACAAGTTAAAAGATCCCATTCAAATAAGCAGCAAAAATTATGACAACTCTAGGATTTAACCTGATAAAGAATGCACATTTCATCACTTGACAGTCTCTGGGAGGCCTTTGTGGGTGTGACGGCACCACTGTGTAATCCGTGTGAGCCCACTTAGCAGCTAATGTAAAATCGCCTGCTCAGCCGCTTCTCTGGCGGCCTGGTTTAGATGTCAGGGTCCTGCGTGCCAGGACCACCCCGCCCCCCTGTGAGAAGGCAGCGAGGCTGGTCTCCGGCAGGTGGAAGTGCTCAGGCTTCTTCAAGGCCCATTTCCTCCCCTGAGACTCCCAGCCGACTCAAAGCCAACTGCAAAATCCTTCTGTGTCCCTGCCACACTGCAGTTTTCTGAAGTAGACACACCTCCTTGATTAGGGAGGAGGTGAGACCCAGGGGAAGACAGAGCAAAGATGATACAGGCTCTGCCCAGTGCTGGGGAGGCTGGGAGGAGCTGGAAGGGACCAGAATCTCCATCTGTGATCTACGGAGCCTGGGCTCTGGGGCGAGAGCAGCAATGCTGAAGGTGGGGATGTTCAGCTTTGGGTTTTCTTTTCCGTCTTTTTTTAGTGAATTTAACACCCAGCCAAAGGAAAGTGGAAAATAGCAAGTCAGATTTGATGTATCCCAACAGGGCACATGAGGCCACAAAGCTGGTGACTACCAAACACTCCTTTCTGTCCCAGCCATGGCCTCCCTGGGAATGCGGAGCCCTGAGTGGATGTGACAGAGCCCGAGGGAACCTGCCCCCGCCCAACACTTGAGCTATGGAAAGGTCTTTACTGTCATTGATATAAAGATGGGTTAGTTGTCAGTGTAAATATAAGTCAGTCAACTATTTTCAACATTAAAAATAAAATGTCAGCTGCTTATTTGCACCTGGAGAAATTCGGATGTGAACTTACAAAGATTTGATCGGGGACATAATTCTTCTCTGAGAGATTTCAGACACTGGCTGATTTTCCCTCTGCTGGTTTTACCTTAACATTTAGAAATATTTTTGTTGTGATCTTGTGAACAGAAGAAATTTAGCAGCTCTGATTTTAGTCCAGGCAGCTCCTAATCTGTCCATCCCAGTCCCAGGTGACAACTATAAACTCAGATGATAGATGAAGGCAGCTCCATGAGGGCACCGAGTAGTGACCCAAATCAGGCAGATGTGGAGCGGGCGAGGGGACACTGGAGGAAGGTGAATTTTACAATCCCCAGCCCCAGAGCAGGCCCTAGGTCACAGAGCCTCAGATATATAATGTCATTGATCACTTTTTAATGTGCTTATCCAATCAGAGGAACAGACACAGAAAAAGATTTAGATAATGAAGTGTGTCTCAAGGGCCTGTAGGTAATATTAAAAAGTACTGTATAGTAGTATACATTAATTATAGTCTGAGAAGGAAGAGAAATAACAGCTTATAATTTCTCAATTTGGGTGGAAAACATACATTTATAGATTTAAGAAGCTCAGCAAACCCCAAGCAAAATAAATATAAAGAAAACCACTCTTAAATACATCATAGTCAAATCGCTGGAAACCAAAGATCAATAGAAAATCACAACAGCAGCCATAAGAACACAGCACACTGGTAATAGCAATTCAGATAATAGGCTCAAAAAATGGAGCCTCCATCAGACAGAAATCACCAAGGTCATTGTTGAACTCAACAACACCATCAATCAGCTAGATACACTTGACATCTACTGACTCCATCCAACAACAGCAGGACACACATTCTTCTCAAGCTCACATAGGACATTGACCAAGATAGGCCACATTCTGGGTCAAGGACACCAAGAGTGAATGAACTCTTATGTAAACTATGGACTCTTGGTGGTGATGTCAGTGTAGGTTCATCAATTGTTACAAATGTACTCTCTGGTGGGGATGTTGAGAGTGAGGAGGCTGTGCCTGTGTGGGGGCAGGGGATATATGGGAACTCTGTATTTTTCATTCAACCTTTCTGTGAAACTAAAACTGCTCTAAAAACTAAGTCTATCAAAAATTGTATTTCTAAGATCTGTGCATCTCAATGTACATACATTTACACAAAAGACTAATCTAGTAATAATAACTGAGTGAGGAGTGAGAATAAGTGGAAGTATAGATTACTCAAGAGTGACAGAAAGTTAGTAAATATTGCAGGGGTGGACAGAGAAGTCTGTTGCAATATCTTGTGTACTCAGACACGTTTGAAATCTCCCACAACGTTTCCTTTAAAAAAGCAATTGAAGAGAAAATGTTCAACGTGGAAGACAGTCAAGCGAGATTCAGCATGTGCACAATTAGAGCCCCAAGGAAGAAAATTACACTAACGGGACAGAAAAAATATTGAAGCATGTAATTCATGAACACTCTCCCTAATGAAAGAAGACAAATGTAGAGATTTAAAAAGAAACATTGGAACTCAAGAAAAATGAACACCCCACAGCATTGTCAACACTATGACACCCCAGAAACTTTCCAGACTACAAATAATTAAAATATAAAGTGTTTTTAGCAGCCTAGCAAGAATATAAAGTTAGTTATAGAGAGAGAAATCAGTCTGGCCTCAGACATCTTCACAACAGCAATAGATACCAGAAGGCTGCAGAGCAATGCCCATGAGACGCTCAGGGAAAAACAGTGTGAACACAATTTTATAGCCAGCTATATTGTCATAAGTGAAAGGCAACTACGAACATTTTTCAACATGCAAAACTCAGGGGATATGATTCTTATGAGTAGAGGGTATATTTCAGCCAACTAAAAAAATGAATTTTAAAACATTATCAAAATAACTAACAGTGAACTGTGAATTTGTTTAACTATAGGACTCAGGCCAAAACAAATGTGACTACGATCAATCTGTGAGAACATAAGGTCATAAATTTTTGACCATAGAGAAATTCTAATTAACACTCACAAGCATTTGGAGTAACAGGGCAAGCAGGTGGGTAGGAGAAAGAGTGTGCTGAGGTCCACATCTGGCCAGGGGCTCAAAGACATTATTTGAAGTTAATAACGCAGGTAATGGAAGTGCAAGAATATTTATAGTGAAACATTAGCACCAAAAAAGGTGGCAGAGGGCGGTGAGGAGGGGAGGGAGGCCAGGAATCTACATCCCTCTGTGCACTGCTCAGCGTGTACGGCTGATGGTGGGAGAAGAGACTCATAAAGTACAAAAATTAATCACTTACATTTTAAAAGTAAAACAAATATATCCAAAGTTGCTCTTGAAATATTAGGTGTTTATTTTACACAAAATGTGATGAGAGTAAGAAATATTGTCGGAATGCAGATCATTCCATTCCAGCTGGTCTTTTTCATTTTGTATCCAAAGTTGTGGTGGTTAAGACTGGTAGCCAGAAGCTGTAACCAAAAAAAGCCACTTCCATTATGTGATTGCATAATTTTACACTCGGAGGAGCTCAATAAAATAGAAGTCTAGAGTTGCTTTTGTTTCTTTCCTAAAGATTAAGTTTCATAGGCCAACATGAGATTGGATGGTTAACATTTAAGATTTTTCTGCAGAATACATCTCAGCATTTTAAAATGCCTCAGACTGAGGAATTGGCCGCCTGCTACAGTAAAACCAGGATCTGGTTTTCTCCATCTGTTCGTGGACTCCAGGCATTCCACTGGGGAAAAAAGTAAGCCCCTAAAATAGATTCCCATCACTAGATGACATAGCCCTTTGGTAAGAACTAATTTGCAAGGAAAATTCCATATTTAATAGCTGCACTTTAACATTTTTATATTTTGGGGTTTCTCCATATTAAAAATAATGTTGAATGGAAATTGTTGTCAATTAATAAGGTAATTATTATGCTTACAAGCTAAATGTACCTTCTTCTGATCAGGATTTCCCACCTGATGTCCTTCAACCTGAAAGCGGGTTAGATAGAGGAACGGTTTCTTCTCGTCGTTTCTCGATGCAGGCTGCTGTAAGGGCAGTAACACCACCTTGCCCCTACCCAGGCCACCTTCAGGAAGCTTCACGACCCTCTGGGCAGGGGTCAGACCCATCCTGCAGAGAAGGCCACATGTCAGCCCATCTGGTGAGCATTAGCCTCGGGACTTCTTGGTCGAGGTAACTTTCACATAGTTTTGGTACAAACTGAAAATACAGGATTCGATTACAAAAGCATTTGGAAAAATAAGTGTGGTCAGAGCAAAGCTGTACGGGAATCAAATTTTAAAAATACCAGAAAAAAATACATTGGAAGAAAAACAGGAAAATGTGTTTTAAAAATCAAAAGCCATTCAAAGATATGTGATGTTCGCCACAAAAGCTCTTTTTAGAAACAAAATCTTCAAGTCAACATTTTTATGATATTTACATTAATTTTGGTTGAAAAGAACCACATAATTAAATACTTTCAGTGATTTTTGAGTCTGAAATCATTGTTTCTCTGTATGTTCATAAAACAATGATACTACTTGTATTTTCTCTTTTAAAGGAGAAAAGTAGTTGATAAATGGCAGATTTGTGGGTCCAGAAATGTCCTTGCTTCTTGCCTTCAGTGGCAGAGTTAAAGTGACCCACTGTGTCTAATGAGAGGGCCTCTCATGAATTTATAATTGTCCTTGCCACATGCAAACTTTTCTTAATTATTTTCATTCTAGAAAACATTGCAACTTCTCAAGTGTCAACATAATCAAAGATGAACTATTAATGCAGGCAGATGCCACCCGCTGCTTCACAGACCCTGTCACCCTTCCTGGTCCGCGCTGATGACACCCCAGCCTCCCATGACCAGTGGGCTGGGATGAAGTTGCAGCCAACACACTGTGGGGAGAAGTGATGCTTCCAGAGGCCCTCGCCTCCCCGCTGTCCTCCTTGAAGCAGGCTGGGGGGTCAGCCCGGTGGCCTGGGAAGTCCCTTGTGGCAGACGGCAGCCTGGGCCCTAGACGTCTGAGTGGGGAAGGGGCCCCCTGTCCTACTCGAGCCCTCCTGCTGCCTTATCAGATGAACCTCTTTCAACTTTTCCAGGAGCAGTGACCACGCTTGTCCTGTGCTTGAGCCAACGCAGCGCCTCTGTGACCGTCGGTTAGAGCAGTTAGCCCAGCCAATTGTAAGGGTTCTTTTCACCCCTTTATCCTGAGATCTCGCGGAGCATTTCTGGAGTTTCCATTCAGCTCGTGGTACCAGCTTCTGTTCTGTGAGTGGAATTCTCCAGAAACTTCATTCCCAGACGCTGAGGTTGTGTTCCCGGCACCGCGTTGTTATCACTGTCGCCCCAGCAGCCATCGCCGAGCTCAGCTCGCACTTGAGGTTTCCTACGCGGCCTGTGTCAGAGCTCCTGCTATGACCTGCTGCCGCACGTCCAGCACTTTCCATCCCCCGGGTGTCTGAGCACCTGGCAGGTGCTCCACGGGGCTGAGCTACCAGACTCCACACAGATGTGCTCATAGGAGAGTCTTTAATTAACTGCAGAGTCTTCTAGCAAAGGAATCTTGCAAGGCCTTTCCTTCCCGAAGGCTTGGCTCACTGGCAGAGCTCTGAGCAGGTACCAGGGCAGGAGCAAGACTGCAGAGGGTCTGCTCTTCTAAACCACATTTTCCAGAGACCTGAGACCTAAGAAATGGAATAGCAGTCTGCTCACACCATGGGAAGCACCTCTTCCATGTTTGCTGCATGAGCTACACATATTCATGGCAAAAAAAGGAAAGAGAGACTCACAACACCATCCCACAGAAAAATGCCTCATATACCTATATTTATATGAACATAGATAAATTACATGTTGTCCTATATGAGCATGTAATACATGATCTGTCGTATAGATTTTTCATTTAATAATTACACCAGTAGCAGTTTTCAAGTAAATGGAGAGTTGTGTAAAATGGCGTTTGAATAATACAATTTACTGACTAATTCTTCATTGTTGACCATTTAAGTTGTTCAGATTTTAGCTTTTATAAGAAAGCTGTGAAAACACTGTTGTGCATATATTTGGGGACATACTCTTATCCTCGGGACAAATTTTAAGAAGTTGGACTCATTTTTAAGTTTCTGGTAAGTGACATCCAAGTATCCCACAGAGACAAGTGACAAAAGCTCCAGTGTCCCTGAAGTCCCGTCCCCTCCACCCCAGTGACATTCTTTTTAGTATTTGCTAGTCTAGTAACTGAAACCTGGTGCCTGGTTACTCCTTTAATTTCCAGTTTCACAGCAATGTTGACTGATTCTCATGTTAGTTGACCACTTGCAGTTCCTCCAACTGCCTGTAGCCCTCCACCAGCTGTTTTTTTAGTATGTCTTTTCCTAATGGCCATACTATGAAAATATTAGCCCTTTGCTTGCTGCATTATGCTGCAAACATTTCTGTCATTCGCCTTTTCACTTTGCTGCGTGGTGCTTTTGTTCCTGTTGCGTGTCAGTGATCCCTCCCTTTCTGGCTTATGCCCGTCCCTTTGGCTATTACTGTGAGAGTGTACTGTGTGTGCTCATCGGCCTTCACGGGCTGCTCTGTGAACGCTGGCACTTATTTTGGCTCACGGTGTGAGGTGAATTCCCTGTCCACGGGGAACATGTGAGTGGGGGACCGGCCCCCTGTGCCCAGCCCCCTTCCTGCCCGTCTGGAAGGCTGCTACTGCAAGTGCCAGACCGGAGCCCAGCTCACCCACTGGCTCCGTGACCCCAGGAAATGCTCTGCCAGTGGGAACATAATCACGGCAACCTCGTGGGTTGTGCTGAGGATCAAATAGGCAAGTATATATAAATCATGTACTTCTTTTAGTGTCTGGCACATACTAAGCACTATAGAAACCTTATTATTGTAGAGCCTGGTCTTAATTTAATTAAGATATATGATTGTTTCATTGCATACAATTACAACTTAATATTTTATAAGCTCTTCTTAAAATTCTCCAAGTCATTGGATCCAAAGAGGCTGCACTGGACACAACTGGAGCCTAATGGTACAATTGGAGTTTACACTTTGATAACCATTCCTTCCAGGGCAAGACCCTGGACCTAGACTGTGGATCGAGGAGGGGACACTCTGAGCTGCAGGTGGGTGGGTCCCCAAGGACTAACTGCCTCTTGGTAGGAAAATGGTTGGCAAAGATGATGTCCTGAGGAGGGGGAAACCTACAAGGAGAATTGGAGCCCTCCAGAGACTGTCCATTAAATAGAGAAATATGCTTTGGGTGCCAACTTGGCTCTGCAGTCCGGATGGTAACAGACTAGAGCCTTGAGCATAACCAAGCAGGCGGGTGTCCAGGGGCCTTAATGCAGCCACCGCTCATCGACCAAGGTGGACACAGGCCACTCAAGGAGTTGTTAGGTTGTAGGATTTTGTTCAGTTTGTCATCTTAATGCAATGAGCTCAATTCATACAGAGCTGGCAGGAGTTCGTATGCTGTCAGATTCCAAATGAGCATGCCCTGCCCTCCTGCAAGCCACCGCTGGCAAAGACAGAGGAAGTGGCGTCAGGTCCTCAGGTTATGCTGTTTGTAGAAGAAAGAACTAGAAACTAGGGACAAGCCCTTACAAGACAAGAAAGCATCTCTGTATGCTGATGACGTAGAGGACACTGTGGGCTCCCCCGCTCTCCCCTCCATCTGCCCTGACCTCATCCTTCCGTGCACCCCTTTGCTTTTCCTACAGCCATTCCCATGGGATCTCATCTTGCTAAGGTGATAACCCAGGTTTGCTGCCCACACCTCTCTCTGGAACTCCAGGCCAGCACACCTGTATTCCTCAGGGCTCTCCAGAGAAACAGAACCAACAGATGTACATATAGGAAGAGATTTATTACAAGGCATTGGCTCACGTAATTATGGAGTCTGACACTCGTCAGGACCTGTAGGCTGAGTCAGCAGGCTGGAGACTCAAGAGAGCTGATGGTTTAGTTCTAGTTGAAGGCTGGAAAAGGCCAATATCCCCATTCGGAGGCCATCAGGCAGGAGAATCCTTTCTAACTTGGGGGAGGCCAATCTTTTTGTTATATTCAAACCTTCACCTGATTGGTTGAGGCCCACCCACAGGGGAGGGCAATCTGCTCACTCAGTCTACCTATTTAAATGTTAACCTCATCCAGGAACACCCTCACACACACCCAGAGTGATGTGGAACTAAATGTCTGTGCCCCCTGTGGCCCAGTCTAGTTGACCTGTGAAATTAACCATCACAGCTCCTGAGCGGGATGGTGTAGCATCGTCACCTGCCAGTTTGGGAGTGCAGAGGGGAGGGTCCTCCCCAGTCTGGACGAGGGCTGTTAGTGACGAGCCATCTAAACCAGAAGTCAGCCTCTGAATCTTCAGAGCTCAGGGTGGCCTTCAGGGAGGGTCCCAACCACAGGGAGTGGCTGGAAGCCACCTTCTTATCTCGTGCCCCACTGCCTGCCCACTACGAAGGGCCCTACGGTCCCAAGAGCAGGTGAAACCAGGGGGCTGCAGGTGAGCAGAGCGTCCCGTCGGGCCCAGCAGCCTCGGGTTCCAGGATAGGAATGGGTGAACATGAGGGTGGGAAGGAAGGACATTTCTAAAGGGGTTGCTGCCAGGGAGGCTGACAGGAAGACAGCGCAGGAAGGGAAGCCAGGCTTATCCCTTCTTCACTCACACCTTGCCTGTGGGTCATGGTGAGGACACAATGCTCAGGAAGTGCTGTGAGCCCAAGCCGACCCTCAGGTCAGGAAGGAAAGTGCACCTGTTGGACGTGCCCCAGAGAGTCCTTCATAGCAATGTGGGCGTCCTAAGCCCCTGGGAGATGTGGGGGAGGCATAGCATAGAAACTGGCCAGCGTGGCAGCCCCCATGACTCTGGGAAAGGAAGCTGCTGCAGAGCTGAGACAGTATTGGAGAGTTCCCGGAGCAGAGGGCAGTGCCAGGGGCCCTGATTTCCAGAGACAAGCCGCAAGGGCAGGAATAGTGGCTGCCATGCTGCATGGGGGTGTCTGGCATCCCGGGCTATGGGCCCAGCAGCCACCACCACAGCAGTGTAGGTACCCACCCTTCCTTAACCAGATGCTGTCAACCTAAGGGCCCTGCCGCTTTTATTGAACAGGAGCCACTGTGATGGGGAGAGTATTTTTAGACTATTTTCTGCCAAGTGGCTCGAGCAGGATTAGCAAAACCAGGCATGAAAAGCCCACACAGCACACAGCAGCAATGCCAGGACCGGGTTCCCACATGCTGAGAGGCCTGTAAGGAAACCCCTCTCCAGTCCAGATTTGGCACCCACTTCCATCCCTTAAATAAGCAGGATCTCAGATTAGTCATGAGAAATAAACAAAATAAAAAGCCATGTCTTTGTTGTCAAAAGGAAGACAAAGCTCAAAAGCTGACATGTGGGGCAGAGGCTGCTCCGTTTGCTGACGTTTATCTCTCTTCCTGCACCTTTTGGTCTCTTCTATTCGTGGAAGGACAGAATTGAGCTGCAGCAGAATGAAAGGAAACGCAAGACAAACGGGCAGTCCAGGCAGAGCGGGGCCATCAGCTGCCCCAGAAATCCTGAAATAAAAATGGCTTTCCCATAAAACATTTGCTTGTCAGAGATGCAAAGTAGAGATATTTTTAGGCAATATTAATGCTCCAATTTGCAGACTGCCACTCATGTCTGCCCTTCCCCCACCCAAACCATCCATGTGCTTGGCTCCTTCCTTTTAAATTCTTTTTTTTTAGAATAATGTTCTCTATAGGAGGGATGCATGCACATGTAGAGTCAAACAATTCCAAAAGTTACAAAAGAGAAAGCAATAAGGAACAAAAAAGTTCACTTGCCAATTGCATGGCCAGAGAAACCCACTTGTGTGCACGCCCCAAGTACACCATGAAGGAAGCACGACCGACGGGCTCATTAAGTAGGTGGAAGGCAAAGGGAGAGGAAGTAAGGATTTTCCTTGACTACAACAGAAGGAAAAAAATGGAGTGAATTTGAAGACTGCTAAATGTAACATAAATAAATCTTTGTCACAAGAAATAATTTCTGAATGATCCCTCCAAGATAATCATCACTCGCTGAAAAAAAGGCTCTGTGTTGGGACCAGCCCTCCCTACGGCACAACATGCCCAGTGAGGTGCATGAACAGACAGACCTGGGATAGAAGAGGAAGCCGGAAATAGGCCCACGTTTAGGGAGGTTCGTGTATGATAAAGGTGGCATTTTAGGGGAGTCATGTTCCAGGAGCTCCACACCCAGGAAGGTCCATACTCAGGGAGGGGTCTGTGCTCAGAAGGGCCCCACCAGGAGGGCCCTGCTTTCAATTTTAATGCTCTGTGGTTACTGTCTTGAAATTTTAATAATTTTAATAATTTTATTGAATTTGTGTTTTGAAAATGGAGCGTGTTCTGGGCTTGGAGTCTGGCCTCAAAAGTGGCCACATCTCTCACCACCTGCCCACACCCACTCAGTGACCACTGCCACCTCTGCCCTAGTGGAGGCCTGGACACAGGTGTGGGAAGGGGTAGAGATGGGCACATGAATACTAAGCGGTAGAGTGGGATCCCTGGTGCCTGTGAGGATCTGTATTTGCCCTGCAAGTATTCCCATGACCCAAGGATTGAGACATTAAATAGCAAATCAAAAACGCCAGGACCTGGAAAGAGAGAGAAAGAGAAA